CGGTCGACACACCACCGACTGCTCCTTCGAGTTATCGGGTACAAGCGCAAGAAAGACACCTACCGGCAGCTCTCGTACGCCCAGACGCTGAAGAGGGTCGAATGCCAGAGCGTTGAAGCCACGATCCGACAACGACGCCTACTGTTCGCGGGAGCACTGGCAAGGCAGCCGGACGGGCGACTCCCGAAACGACTGATGCTCGGCGAGCTGGCGGGGGGGGAGAAGCCACGTAGGGGGGCACAGGAACAGAACTGGCCGAAGTGTGTGCTCGACGACCTGAAGGCATTCGGGGCCGACCACGGATCTACGAAAACCGACCCATGTTGTCTCGGAATTCCCGTACCGAAAGACACGGCACCGAAGTTAAGGTGGACGGAAGCCGCGAAGGTGGAGGAGGGAGTACCCTGGCATGCGGCGGTGCTGCAGGGAGCTGAGAGGTTCATGACCTCCTGGCACGAGAAGGAAGAAGAGGCCAGCCGACAACGAGCGCTCAAACGAAACCACAAGCCAACAACCAATGGGGCGGGAGGGGGGCAGGAGACGGACGAGAAGGCGAGGGAAGAAAGCAAACGAGAAGAGACGGACCGAGTGGCACGACACGTGCCGGATTGAATTTCTTTTAGCCAATTCCCCCCCCCCAACGCTGCACCATTGCACCAACCCCCCAGTAGTAGTGATTTCGTACCATTACAATGTATCGCTGGTTGGTGGCCATGTTTGCGTGTTTGCTTGTTCGTCAGTGGTCTCTCCACCGTGTGCCTTGTTCTGCCTCATACTTCTTGTTATTTTCGGCCTGGTCCCTCTTTGTCCTCGCCCTTTTTCATTTTATTTTCATTTTATTTCCTCTTCTCCTTGTTGTACGGTTTCCATTTTTTTTTTCTTTTTTCTTTTTTTTCTCTCTTTTTCTGTGCCAGATGGCCTTGTCTCTGCTTGCGTTGTGAAATACCAAGATTGAACCAAGGGGGTGTACCTCTTTCTCTCCGGCCCATGATAGATAGTGACTGCTAGTCTCAGTTGATACCTCGCATAGCGCGAAGAGGGAGTGGAGGATTCCAGAATATCTGTCGTTGATTTCTATTGACTTGCGGACCCCTCGGGGCCAGTTTATTTGAGTGTACCTTTTTAGGGTAAGTTAACCTGTGACCACGGGAATCGACCGCGTCGAGCGTTGGATCAGTACGGACATACGAAGGTACTGGGTATAGAGAGATCGGAACGGTTTTTAATGTGAAGACAACAACAACAACCCTCGAGCTTGAGATCAGGAGGTAGGTCATTGGCTTTCAAAGTAAACCGTGCCGTGCTAATCACGTCCTGGTTGACCGTGGGTTGGGTTACCGGGGTAGGGTTGTCTGGGTTTACCGTTTGCTGGTTTACCTGGTTCGGTGAGGCCTGGTTTACCGTGTTTTGGTGTACCGGGTTAATAGATGAATTTGTCGGTGTAGACATATTCTGAGCAGGGGTCTGTTGAACACTTGCTGTCGTGCGCATACCACCAGAACGATTTTCTGCTTCTAGATCTGAGGCAAGCGAACGCGGATTCACCTGCTGAATGTCGTGCTGGTGGACGGCTCCCGGCATGAGCATGCTGAGGACCCATGCCGGCGGGGTCTTATCCGCCTTCACTGCCTTTGTGACCGCTCCGACGAGAACGGCTTCCAGCGGCCCGCCGCTTGCCAGGAGCGAGGCACTCTGCTGACTTGCGGCGCTTGCGCGGTTCCGCAGGATGTCTTGCGCGAGGTCGTCGTCGACGTCGTCGCCGCCAACGGCGTCGTCGTCGTTGTCGTCATCGTTGTCGTCGGATTGCGGGTCGGTGTCGTGGTGTCGGGTGGTGACAGCCTGGGCGCCATCGCCAGCGCTGCTGTTGTTGTCGCTGTCACGACTTTCACCCACCAAAGCGTGGAAGTACCCGCCACGGTGACTGCTCTGCGAGGGTGCTACGCTCGAAGCCGCACCAGCGGTGTCCCCAGCTTGGGACGGCGTCGGCTGTCCCTCTTGGGGCTTAGCCGAGCCGTGGTGGGTAGGCGCAGCAGCGTCGGGACGCGGCTTCGCCTGCTGTTTGGGCATCAGCGACTTTTGCTTTTTCAGCTGTTGCTGCTGTTGTTGCGACCCTCCGACCTTTTTCTTTCCTCCTTTGGACCCCATGTTTCACACGTGGGTTGCAAAGATAGAACACGTCGTCGAACGCCAATATGGAAGCCCTCTACTCTGGCTGAGCAGAGAGTCCGGGAGTGTGGTGGCTATGTCCTGCCACCGGAGGTTGGCTATTTCCTTTGGTGCAATGTGGCGAGGAATGCCAAGCGTGACCGAGCGAACTCAGTCAAGCTAGGGTGGCGAGGAGAGTGGGCGAGCCTTCGTGGACCCTTTTCCCATTCTCCTAAAGATTCATCAACTCTTCGCAGCCGTTGGGAATCGTAAGAGTCATAGACCCTCGAAGAACGGTAATAATCTATTATCACATATCCTCTCAGATCCTACTCTTTATGTACGTGTATCTGTGCTCCCTGAATCTCCATATCCTGACCTCCACATAGCCCCCCTTTTTCTTCGCCGAAAGCTCAGCTTGTTGAAGTTGGGTTTTGGCGCGCATGCATGTTTGCATGTTAATTGTAGTGGAGCAGGTATGGATGTATCATTGGATCCAGATACAGCTTTTCGAAGTTGGATTGTGTTGTATGTACTCCCACACTTGTCGCCGCCTGATGATCTAAGCTCGGCAGCATGCGAGTCCGGGCATACAATCGTGGAGTTTGCTTCAGGCAATCCTGTCCCTGTGCTTTTCGTTTCCCTCTCGTGCGCTCTCGAGAGAAAAAAACCTCTTGCGTACCCTCAACCAACAAGATACCACATTTACTTGGTTTTGGCGGCAGATAATAATGGGTGGCTTTTTCGGTTTTTCCGCCCCCCCGCCCATTGTCTGTCGCCCCACTGTTGCTGTAACGCCATTGCAGTGTCATGGTGTTGGTCGTCAGGATTCATTGTTATCTGCTGCTGCACCAGCAGATTTTGCCTAGGACCCCTTAGGCCTCCTCTGTGCTTACTACCCGGTGTTCGGAATCAATCGCAAAATATCATCTAGACCATCTAGACTAGTCGTATGCAGTTAACATAGTACCGCTGAATGCACGCGCGTGTCGCCTGCAGCAGTTGTGTGCCGGTGCAACACATCATGCTACTCCTCTTGCTGATGATGCCGTAGCGTACGGACTCTAGCGAGCTTGGTTTGAGACAGCAATCACCACTGACCGGCCATTCGGGTACGGTTCGCAACCCGCATTCGGGTACAGTTCGCAACCCGTGCTCACCAACTCCAACGAAGCTCGTTTGAGCACGCCCACTTCGCTCGCCGCTCCGTGAATGTCCGATGGATGCGCTCGGCCACCCTCACGAGTTTGGTTCTGAGCGCTACAATCCCCGATCGCCGGTCCCTCGGGGCAGGGTTGGCGGCAGTAGCAGCAAGCAGTTCGCCAACGGGCGCGATTTTGAGACGCACCAGACCGACCCTCGAAAGCCATCATACCGACCCTCGAGGGCTTGGTTTGACCGCTCACCCCCACGACCACAGCATAGGAATTCGGTCCTGGACAACAACGTAGCAGCCTAAGGGGTGTTGTCGGTACAATCCTCCGATGCGCATATACAATCCGCGGTCATGATCAGGCAGGGTCCCAGTCTCGCCGGATGACCCAGGAACCGCCAAACTTCGCCCATTGGCGAAGAGACGATATTGTTCTGGATGTGCCCGTGTCCCAGAAATCCGCGAGCGTTCACTAACAACACGTACGTGTTCCACTAAGGAGGGGATAGCCTTATCCGCCGCTCTCCGAGAATTTGTATGGCATATTGCTTTTGAGGCTCCCTCCGGTCGCGAAGAACCCCTCGTAGGTGGGATATGTAGACTTTGTATGTATTGTACATGTATGTGTACAAGCTCCTCAGAGCTTTCCGACGGTGTGAAAACCCAGCTTTACATTGCAAGAACTACTCATCGTGGATGCAATAAGTGGTGCTCTCTGGCCACCTGCGTAGCCGTTGTCGGCCCCTCGGAGATTTCCTGGAAATGTTCCGTACCCCCATCTCCCAACCCAGTGCTTCTGCGGCGTACGCTATGAGGCAACGCAATGACCACAGATATAGATACTACTTTGTTCCACTGTGCCGGTAGCAGCAGGCACACTTTTCATGTCGAAAGCAAGGCTGTTTCAGACGCATCTCACTGCAGGCGGGCTTGCATGACACTTGGAGCCTTCAGGCCAGTGTTTGATTGTTGGCGTTGGAACACAATTAGCTGTGCACCCTGTGTGCAAGCGTCTATTCTCGCGAATTTTGTTTTGCTTGACCACTACGTACAAGCATGCGTAGGTTGTGCGCGAGTTGGTTGGGCTTCTACAAGTAGTATATTCGAAGCAAGATGGTGAGTGGAAGAATGTTGGGCGAAGACCGAGACATGAGTATTTTGTTCAACAACCCGTTGACCCTTCCGGAACCGAATTGAACATGATTATGTCGTGTGTGTATCATCTAGCATCTACATGTTGTTGGATCGCTAGACGTTATCGTTGCACACACACCTTGTGCGACAAGGCCACCCGTGGATGCGCCCGAGGTACAAACATACGGCCGCCATACTCCGGAGGTACTATCTCTACCCCCCCGCTTCGTTTCGTGTGTGCGAAACGGGGTGGGTGGTAGTGATGGCCTCGATAGACTGTGTACTGATCGATTGAGGGACCAAAACCCGCAGCTCCTGCCTTCGCCTCGAGCAAACTCATATTGCTGCTCGTTAAGCACACCGTGACGCACCAATGAAAGCTGTGGTATCGTACACAAGCGAACGGTTTTGATAATCATCTAATAGCGAAGAGTTGTCGTGATGACCTTCCTCATCCAGCACAAGTTCGTCGCAGGGAAAAGCGGCGACTCCTGAATTATATAGCAGGTGGCAGTGCTGCTGCACGATCGATGGAACTACAGCACGTAGTAGGCATTCTCATTGCTATCTATGCGTCGCTTTCCGAATCGCTTCCACTATCGCTCCCATGGCCGCTACTGCTACCAGTTTCACCACCATCACTGCTGGATGCATCTTGCTCATCGCCCGTTTCATCATCACTACTTCCACCGCTGCTGCTACTCTCATTCCCGCCTTCACTTGCTGTCTCCGCCGCCGAGGCCTCCTCTGTCTTGCTGCTGCTGCTGCTGCTACCACCACCATCGGCGTTCAAGAACCCTTCCACGCCGTGCATCGCCAACAGCTTCTTCCTCAGGCCAAGCTTGTCGCCTGGCACTCCAACGCAGTCCAAGTCTGCCTCGGTCAACCCCTGCGATGCCATGAATTGCAGGTCGTCGTAGCCGGCCCTCAAAAACCGACCAAGAAACTCCCGACACCCGAGCACCCCGAGCCACGAGGCGAGCGTCTTCCTCCTCCTGACCGCCTCGCCCCCGTCCTCTCCCGCCAGAGCCCGGCTCCTGAGCAGAGTCGCGGCGTCATCAAAGCCCGCCATCTCTGCCATGTCCAGCGCCTTCGCTGCGTAGGGTGCTTCAAAGGACGAGGAGGCGTCCGCCCCAGCCTCAAGCAGCACCTCGATCGTCTTCAGGTGGCCGTTTCCTGCTGCGTAGCAGAGTGGTGTGAACCCGAAAGTGTCGCGGGCATCGACTACGGCACCGAGCTCTAGCAGAACCGCCGCAACACCGGCGTGGCCATAGCGTGAAGCGACGTGTAAAGGTGACGAACTAGCCAACACTTTCGTTTGCGCCGAAAAAGAGGGGCGGGCGCCTCCGATCTCCACGATCGCGCGGACAAGTTCGACCCGCCCCTCGGCGCAGGCTAGCGCAAGAGGGGTCCAAGTTTCGGCGACGGAGCGCAGCAACGGCGCATCGATAGTTCCACCTTGACTCAGCCAATGGCGGAGTGCAGAGAAGTCTCCTCCCCGAGTTTCTTGGTAGGGGAAGACGGGTGCATCCATGGAGCTGCGTCCACAGATTTCTCCCGTCCCTGCCGCTTTTTTGCAGTTCGAGACAATGAACAAGAAGGGGAAATGCGTATGGCGGACGGACGGGATGTTGCAGGTTGCTGCGAACCGAGTATCACCTGTCCACAGCAGTATGCGGCGTGCCGGTCCGAACAACTGAGAGGATGAATCAATGCCTCAAGCAAAAACTCTTCCTTGTACAAGCAGCTTCGTAAAAACTTTAACACCGTATATGTAGACAACCCCCGACGTGTGGGGGGATTTCACCACACACCAACAAAGATACAGTTGCCAGAGATCGTGTCTCGGGCTGATTTGTTCGGATCTTCCTTCTGTGTGTACAACGCCCCCAGACGTCAAGCTCACGAGGCCCCTCACCTCTGTCCGGACTGTGTGCTGAGTGACTTGTGCGATGTGTGTTGCGTATGTGAAGCACAGCAGGCGGGTCCAGTACACACGCGTGTGGGAACCTGGGCGCCCAGGGGGGGACGGTTTTAAATCTCCCCGGTTTTTCACGCCCCCGGAACCAAAAACTGCGGCTTAATTCGGTTCGGCTCCTTTGATCGGGAAGGGGGAGTGCGAGCTCTCTCCAGCGGAGGAGACGGTGACAGCAGTAGTGACGAGCCAGGGCCGAGTTCGAGAGCATATCATGGGAACGAGCGCGCACTTGTTTCTTTGCGTGAGCCTGTGAAGGTTTGCTTCGCTGAGAAACACGAACCTCCTGCCACACGCCAGCAGGAACATCCCCACGAGCGGCTTTGGACCATCTCCTGTGAAGAAACTTCCAGCTGTTGCATCTATTGAGAACCCTGTCTTCTAACGGCGGCTGACCCCGCCGTACAGCACATCTTTCGTTACGCCCGCCGCCTCCCTGCGGACAGGCCTCTCTGTACCGGCTTGTTCTCTTCACAAGCGGCCGGAAATAGGCACAGAAGGTGGCGGCGGGGTGCGGCCGTCGAAGCGAAAGATGGAGACTGGTGACTGCGGACCAACACCATACCGGCCTCTCGATAGCTCCCTCGGAGGGACCGGCAAGACGGATACTCGAAGGGGCAGCAGCAGCTGCAGCAGCAGCAGAAACAGCAGCAACGCTAGCGGCGACGGGAGCGGGCTTTTGTCGGGTGGCCGTCATGGACTGAACGGATCAGACGGATCTCCAGTTCCCTTGATACGCAACACCAGCAGACCCTCGCACCATTTCGATGTGTCTTCGGAGTCGGGCGGAGGGAGTGATGGCGGCGGTGGGGTAAAGACGATGGGCAACGCCGGGAGGGGGGCAAAAAAAACGATATCCTTCTGGGTAAGTTTTCGGAGCATCACTGGCAAGCAGCTCATTGTTTGGTACATAAATATAGACTAAATTACGGCTGCATCGTTTGTGTGCCATACAAGTGTGTCCGTGTGTCCGCTGCAGCAGTCGCGGTTCGCAATGCGGCAGAATACGCTCAGAGGCTCTTGGGTCCCGCAGCAACAATCTCACACATATCCAGGTGCGCAGGGACCTACTTTTGTGGACCCTGCTCAAACTAAGGTCCTCCTTTTTCTTGCCGGCAAAGGCAGAGTATGAATGAGGTGATCGGTCAGTTGTAACGCTGCCGCGGCAGATCTTCTGTCTCGAGGGAAGCTCTCTCCCGATAACAACGAAACACGTTCATGCCATGACTCCTGACAGAACCCCCCCTCCGGTTCCATCTCTATCCGTGTGTCTCTGTCTCATTTTCTCCCATCCCCCCTCTCTTTCCTTTTCTAACGTTCTCTCATGATCCCCTAACCCCCCCCCCCCCTCTCTGGGGGGTAGGAAGTGGTTTGAAAAGGCGGGAAGGGATATATCGTTACATGAAGTAGGTAGACCAGGGACGACATTTTTAAGCCACCTTTGGCAAAGTAGGAAGGACCGATTGGCCATCGGTGATCGGTCCTGTGGGAACAATGCCCCGTCCTCTCGAGAACGCGTGGTCAATGGTCTAACCGCTAAGGCATGCAAAACATAAAGAGTACGCCGCCCCCCCCCTCTCTTCGCTGCCCTACGCACACGTGCAGCCCCTAGTTTTACTTATTTTCTACGGTGTTAGCGGTGGGCCCTTCGGCGTCGAGCCGGTCGTGTCGGCGGCGGGACCGTTTCTAGCTCTCATGGGCTTTCTGTTCCTTCCTATGGTCTGGTCGATCCCCGAGGCGCTAGTCACCGCGGAGCTCTCTACAACCTTTCCGGAAGCCGCGGGGTGTGTGGCATGGGTACGTGCCGCCCGAGTGGGTTTGACGATATACGGGTGTCTTTGGTGTGCGTGTGTTTGCCGTCCCTTTATTTTGGTGTGCCGCCGTCGCTGACGTTGACTTTGCCGTGGCGTGACAAAAGGAACCATGTCGTCCTACCCACCTTCTCTCAACCCAAGACCAGCGACGCTGAAGCACAATCCAGGTGATGGCTTGTGTGGTACACGTGATGCATCAAGCTTTGGGTTTTTGTATCTTCTCGTCGCGTTGTAGATAGGGCACCCTCTTGGCAAAGGACAACCGCTACGCCGGTTGCTACTGGTTTCTCCGAGCTGTCAGCACCTGCCCTTGTTCGGTTATTCACTCTCTGCTTTTGTGGCGGTCTGCAGGTCTCAACAGCTTTCGGCCCGTTCTGGGGGTGGATGGAGGGCTACGCCAGCTGGATGTCCGGCGTCGCAGACAACAGTCTTTGTGAGTCGCGCGGCCGAGCAGCCATCTCCTTGTCTGCACCGCTATTCACCTTGATGGCGTTTCGGTGGCTTAATCGTGCGCTGCTTTTCATCGGGAAGATTTTTTTGTGTATGCCTTTGGCATTTAGGCCCGCACGGTGGAATCGGTGTCAATTTTTTGTGTCTTACCATTGGTCGTTCAAGCGCGTTGCTTCTTCGTTTAGAGCACCGGAAGCATGTCGCGAAAGCGTTCGCAATGGTGGGCCCCACTTGCTGCCAGATGACAAATGACTTTTTCGCTACAACGTCTCATGTTGCCCTCTTCTATAGCATGACCCTGCCCATCTTCCTCCTGGTGTCTTTCCCGCTGCGCGAACAACCGGTCCCAACCGCCATGGTAGATCCGGTTCTCTTCCTCGACTACCTTGTGAGCCTGCTTCCCAGAGACAACTTTCTTCGTGAGGACGGGTTAGGCCGGTGGGGCTGCGTCGTCTGCCTCAACCTAGCCCTCTCCTACTTGGCCTACAGGGGCCTTAGGTACGGTAGCGCGGGTGTGTTGCGGAAATGATTCCTTGGCACAACAACCTAGCTGTTCAGGGACCTTCCCCCAATAGCGCAGGTCTCGATATAACGCCGTGATTTTTTTCTGTTACTACACCGCGATATATCGGCACCATTACTCTCCGGTGTGATTCGCTCGGCGTACTATACTAAGACTATAGCGCAGCATCACCATAGCCGATGCTCACCGATGGGCTTGGGGTGTATAAAATGTCCACACTCGCGTGCCCTCCACCCGCCGTCGCCGCCGTCGCCGCCACCGTTTTGCAACACGCGCTGACGTTCCAGAGTGGTAGGACGGACCGCCATAGCGGTGGCGGTGTTCAGTTTGCTCCCGTTCGTTGTTCTCGTGCTGTGGGGGCTTCCGGACTGCACGATGCCGGAGTCGTGGATCTCTCCGCCAGACGGGGGCTGGGGAGCGATACGATGGGGGACGTATCTGAACGTCATGTTCTGGTGAGGCGAACGCTGAGTTATTACCACCTGCGAACAAGGTGTGCAATCACTTGCCAACAAGAACACAAGCTCGAGCTCTGAGGCAGGGAGTGTCCGCCCGTAGAACGGTCAATAGCACGCCCGGAGGAGCGTGCGGCGTGTGTCTCCCTACGGCAGGCTGTTGGAGCGCGCTTTTCCTCTGCGCGATGATCTGACGTGTCCGTCACGCGTGCATTTGGTTGCAAACTGCTTGGTTGGGTGTTCTCTCGCTCCGACGGTTGGCTGGCTCTGCGGTCGAGCTTTTCTGATATTGCACCGGTTCGACACGTTGCTCTGTTCCCGGGCGAAAATATGGTGGTACAGAAGTATCGTTCCAAAAAATGTTAACACACGGAAGAGACATGTTTTTTTCGTAGTGCTGACGTTCCCCTCATCTATGCCACCGACGATCTCCCCCCGCGAAAACGCTCCCAGGAACCTCAACTACTGGGACAGCGCGGCTTCTTTCGCCGGGGAGGTGGAGAACCCGGGGAGGACGTACCCTCGCGCCCTGGTCGCCTGCGTGGCCCTGGTCGTCCTGTGCTACGGCTTGCCGATCTTCGTGGGGACCGGCGCGGCGTCCGTTGCTGCTGCTGCGGCGGCGGCGGCTAGCGCCGGCGAGGGGGGCCGGTGGTCCCTGTGGGAGGACGGGTACTTTGCGGAGGTGGCGGAGGCGATCACGGGGCGTTGGCTCGGGGTGTGGGTGGTCCTGGCTGCCGCGGCGGCGAACATCGGGCTCTTCGAGGCGGAGATGACTTCCGACGCCCTCCAGCTCATGGGAATGGTGAGGGCGCTCTGGCTGTTGTTGTTGTTGTTGTTGTTGTTGTTGTTGTTGTTGTTTTGTCTTGACGCATTAAATACCATTCCGGTCTCCGCTCAGTAACTTCTAGTACCCATATAGTATTGGTCCAACTGACGCGAACGGCTTTCGTGGTCACAAGCCAACTACCCAACGAGTGGTATGCCGTTCTACTACTTCAAATTCCAAATATTATTACCTAGAAAGCGTGATGTGTTTTTGTGTGTTTTCGCACTCTGCAGCACTACTTTGCAGGCGTCCCGTGCCGATTGCTTTGTGTGCTTATCTGGTCGGCAGCCCGCTTGTCACCTCCGGAGACTTGAGCGGACGGTCTAAAAGTTTCTCTCAGGCCAGCTGGAAAGCTTTTTGCTGTGATGCCGCCTGCTGTCTTGGTGCGCCAATTTTCCATTTTGTTGCCGTCTTTTTCGTGTGTTCCCAACCCTGGCCCCCCTTCTTTTTTTTTTCCTTCGAAAGGCGGAACGAGGGATGCTGCCGGCGGTGTTTGCAAAGCGAGGGCCGCATGGCATCTCTACCCTGGCTATCGTCGCCTCTTCCACGGGCGTGGCATTTCTCGGGCTGCTGGGGTTCGAGACCATCGTCGAGATTTTGAATCTTTTATGTGAGCCTCTGAAGTTTTTGCACGTGCGTGGTGATGTCCGGGTACAATGTCCATATGTACAACAATCAGGGAAAGCCTGAGGGTTTCTGGTGGGTATTTTCAGTCTGCACGGGGTGCACTCTTTATCTTCTGTGATTCTGATGAGGAAAAGGCGGTGAGTATGTACTCTTGGCATGCTTCACGGCGTCTCACTTGCGGCCAAGGTTTTGTCTTAGAGTCGTTGGCGTTGGCGCTCTAACACGGCGTCTCCGACACGGCATAACCGCTCCACCGTTTTCACGGGGTGACGGCACTGGTTTGGGGGCTCCATGTGGTGCCACAAGGTAGCAGTTTGTTGATCCTACAGCAGTAGAACGTGAACGCGGTTTCCTGACTAACAGATACACAACCTTTCGTCTGTGTTTTTTATGTACAACCGTACATCAGCGACTACCAAATTGTAAATCCTGCCGTACTAGACAACGGGGCAGATTCCCATGTGCTCTTGAACGGCTGGGTTCATGTAACGCCCCGTGTACCATTGCAGGACCCCGTAACCGCACATCTGTCACATGGCTGCTACTCTCCTACCGCTGATGCGTTTCCCCTTGGATGTGTGTGTGTGTGTATTGCCAACCTCATGTAACCGCTCGTGTTTTTACAAACCCAGACTGTTTCGCGGAGATTTTGGAGTTCGTGGCCTTCATCAAGCTCCGAGTATCCCACCGCGATATGCATCGACCGTACGAGATTCCCCTGGGCACCGTCGGCGTGTGCCTGCTGCTGCTGCCGGCGGCGAGCTTCGTTCTTTTGCTCGCCGCCTTTTCGTCGGTCATTACCTGGGTCGTGTCGGGGGTGGCCCTGCTGATAGGAGTAGGTCTCTACCCCGGCCTGCTGCTCGCGAAGCGCGAAAAGTGGTGCGAGTTTCGATCCGCGACGCGATACGAGGGTGATGTCGACGGGGCGGACAATGCGCCCTTGTACGGCAATTGAACGTCGCGTGCGTGTATATTTTTGTTGACGTTTTTTGCGTTTGCGTTGTGCGGGAGAAAGCGCAATCCGTTTGCATGGTTTTGCTCATGACGCCCTCCTTGTTGTTGTCGGTGATACCACGGGGTCCGTGCGAAGACGAGATGTTTATGCGAGAGTCAAAGCAGCGTCCAACTCTAGTACAGGTTTGATTACTGGACCAAATTGTGTCGCATGGCCCGCGTTGCCATGGAACCCACGCTACAGCATTTCTCTACGCCCGCACGGATGACGGGGCGAGGATAGAGGGATGCCTCGTGACAGAAAATCGTTTGTACGGCAGCGGTCCAGGTGCTGCATACCCAGGTGTACGCTATCGGAAACCATACGCCACGAAACGCACGCAATCCCACACACTCTCGTTCGGCCGGCATTCGACGGCATGCCAGCCTCAAAGATGGCGTTAGTGTTGCAGCGGAGGACTTGATTCCTGTGTCAAGTTGCGCATGTCGAGTCGTAGACCGACTTACACTCATCATCGGCCTACATCAAAGAATCGTTGCAGTACAACTATTCACTCCATCTGCGCGACGTATTCAAGTCAATTTCGCAACGGTCACTTGGTAAGCTGGAACCACGACATCAAGACATCGTCACCATCACGCTTTCGAGGAAAATACGTCTCGTGCAGTGCGTAGCCGCCCGAAGTAGGTGAGTTTCTGCTATTACCAACATCTCGGCAACACCAGGTTGGGTGCTTGCTGATGCCAATGCTTTCTGCTTCCCGCGTATAGTGGTGGGTACTTCTTTTCAGTCCAATCGCTCTGGGTTGATCGAGTCAACGCCCGTCCGCTGCTGTCGTGCTCGACGCATCATCGCTCGACAATTCTTCGTTCCCCCCCAAGTCGTGAAGAGGATTCCCAAGGCACGCCAGCCGGGTGCCGGGAGACGTTAGCCTTCCCGACAGGCCTCCGTCCAAATTGTCGTCCGTTGCCTTCGCCGCCGCCGTGTCGTGTGGTCGGCCTTGTGCGACGGCTGCAATACCCAAGGCTTCTGCCACCTCTTGCGCCGTCATCGCCGCCAAAGCTTGTGATGGTACTGGCGGCTGTCGATCTTTGTTCCCCGTGCCACAAGCTTCCCCGACGTGATGATTTGGTGCTTTCATCGGGGAGTTGTCTCTTGGAAGAGCTTCCCGGGCGTTTTCCTCATCACCGCGGGGAGTTCCGGCTGTATCCGAGCCCTCTATGCGGTCGGCGATCGCCGTAGCTACGTGCGGGTGAAGAGGCACGTCGCCCACAGCCCCGGCGGAAACAAGAGACGGATCGATGGCCGGCGCGGTGCCGGCAAGTTTGATCCTCGTCGCATCTGGAGGCCCGTCGTGCGTTCGCGACGTCAGGCCGAGGTTTGGCATCGAGTAGTCTCGCCGTAGAATCATTCCTTTTCTCTCCTCGCCCGTGCCGGTATCAGTGCCGCCCCCTTCACCGCGAGTCGCCGCCGCGTTTGACAGCAATGGCCACGATGATGCCCTTGACCACACCCCCGGCGCCGCGTGGTATTCCGGCGGCCGAACTGGACCGGCGATCAAACCCGCCGGTGGGTCCTTGATTTCGGGGGACACCACTACTACCCGCCGACCGGAAAACGTTGAGTTACAGCGACGTCGTGCAGACGGGGGCGCGGGGTGTTGTAGGTTCGACTCCATACCACGAGTCTTAGCAGAATCTTCACGAGGGGAACTTCCGGGCTCGTCGAGAACACCAGGACGGCAAGAGACGTGATGGTTCTCACCCTCCGCGAACGTGCTCAGATGCGGCGTTTTACCCGGGTCTTTCTTTGCTCTGCCAACCCTCGGCTTCAACCTTTCGCGGATTGTGTCCTTGCGCTTTCCGACGGTTGCTTTGGGAGGGGTCGCAGTCGTCCGCCCATGCCCTTCTTGCTGTTCTGGTGGGAAGTCTGCGACCTCAACGGAAAAAATATCCCCCGTCTCCTCGCGGGCTAGGGCAAGGCGTCTGGCCGCTGCGGGGGAGGCTTTACTTGCGCTCACAAGCCCCTCTACCTCGGCGGCAAGGTGGAAGATTCGCGTGCTGTTGGTCTCGATGAGTTCCCGGGTCTCCTCCAGGCTCTCGTCCAACCGATTTTTGTTTTCTTCGACGGCCGCGGTGCAGTACTCGTCTACTTGCCGACACCTCTCGTCCGCTCGCGTGCACCTCTCCTCTACTAGGCCGCACCGAGCCGCGACCTTGTCCAACCTCGAGTTTGCGCCGGCCGCCACCGCTGCGGTACGCTTGGCCTCGACACTCGCCGCCTCCACCGATCTGTCAATGCGTGCAATAGCCTCCTCGGCGTGAGTAAGACTTTCTTCTAGAAACGCCGTGCGACCGATTCCGGCGTGGGCTGGTTCTACCGCCGCGCACGGTTTGGTTTCTTCTTCTTTCTCGCGAACACAAAGGCCGCCGCCAGTCGCTTCTTCGAAAATCCCAGCCGAAATCAGGAGCTCGCAGACGAGGTCCAGCTTCCCGCGCTGCGATTTGACAGTCCCCTTGTCGGCTTTACAAAGCTGAGCCGCCATAAAGGCCCCCTGCGTGACGAAGTTTTCTCGGCGTATGTCGTGCATAAGCCTCTGGTGTGTGCCAACTTGCCCCTGCAGATCTGGAATATCGAGGACACGAAATTAATATTGTTGCGGATAGGGCCTCGGTTACAGTAGGAACGACGCTCAGCAGCTGACAGCACACGGCTCTCAATGCGGTACGTACAGAAGTTACAAATTGGGAGCGTGCTGATGTACTTGCTTTCGATGATATATTGCCCTGACAAGTTCCAAATGACAATATTGCTCCTTACAGTACCATTCGGACTTCGACGTTTGCATGTGGACCAGAACGTAAAAATACCACTGCGTGCCAGGTAATTACACAAGATGTGTGCATAATCTTACATTGTGTGACCTACAAATGTCCATCTCATGAGTGTATTTCTAGGACACGTTTTGAGTGTGTGCTGGCCGTGATATTCCTAGAGGCTCCCTGTAGGGTAAGTAACGCCACAAGATCTGTGTCTGTGAATGAACGGTAGTATTATTTGAGTAGTCTAGATTCGGAGTTAGTTGTTGTTTGGGGTTTCTCACGTTGCTCTATAGTCCACAGGAGTGTACAACTCTCTGTGGTTGAACCCATGCAGAATTTTGAACAACTGCTGCTGTAGTGGTGTACACGGTAAATAGACATGTAGACAATAAGCCGGGATTGATGCCATGCGTGCAGAATTTGCATTTATTTACACTGCGGGCCGCACGCTTCAATATTACAAACAGATCTCACCTGCCACCATTGCTTCCAGCTTCGCCACTCGTTGGGTGAGATGGAGATGCTGTGCTAAGTGCACCCGCACGCTGAAAGCATTGCCGGCAGGGTCAACTACCACGTCCTGGCCGTGCCTCGGTGCTACGCAAGCCGATGTAGTCAATGGCCTTCCCTGATTCGAGGCATGCTTATGACACCCGCGATTGGTCGGTGTCGGGAGTTTGTCGAGTACTCTGCCCAGGTCGTCCGCTAGGACAGTCACGCCGCGGTTGATCACAAGGTGGTGCCCATCGTCATCCCATTCACCCATCATTTTATTATCGTCTTCTTCTCAGGCCATCTGTTGGACTGTACGAACGCGGCTCAGGACACCGAAATCGTACACATGTGCGTGTGCGCATTATTGCCAACAAACCGGATCTACAATTCTATACAGATCTACGTTTTGTTCTCGGAAGCAGGTCAAAGACTATGACTATAATAACCAAAGACTATGACTATTATTTTATTATTCGTTATTATAGTCATAGTCTTTGAAGCAGGTGGACGGTTTCAGGGGGCACCGATGATTCATTTTTCGCAAACGGGGGAGGGATAGGCGGGGGTATCTGAGAGGAGAGGATTCACCTGCAACCTCTCCAACCCCAGCAACAACGATTCCATCGCACCGCTGCCAACCTACCCCACCCGTATCTCTAGCACCTCACACCGGAATAGAAAGATGAAGACCGCTTGCTGCATGGCTGTTGCTTGCGCCGGAGTGGTGCAGGGATTCGTGGCTCCCAGGTACGCTTGGTTTTTGTTTCATGAGCACGGCCCTCATTTTCGTGTGTTTTGGTTGCCTCCCTCCCGTACGTGGCATCCCTTGACTCCCTCCCTGAGTGTTTGGGACAAGTGATAGACCTCGGGGTTCAAGAGCCAGCATCGGCAGAGGGTGTTTGTTGTCCGTGGTTGTCTATTCAGCAGTGGAGACGAAGGGGTGTGCTTGGTGGGAGTTTTAGATATGCGCGCTCGTTTTGTTGTCCATCGAATCGATCATGACCGCCGGTGACCCCCCCCCACCCAAGAGAGTGGGGCGGACATGCCACCGGATAAGTGCCGCATGAGGCCACGACGCCCTGCGTGGTCAAAGGTAGCATAGTGTGAGCTGAACATATTCTCCTTCCTAGCCAAGGGAGTGGTCCACATAACGTATGTTGTGGCCGTATTCGCCGGGAGTTAGCGGTCTGACACAGCAGGTTTACGCGGTGTGTGCATGCGAAATGTATGCATGGACTATTCCTCCCCACCCTCTCCATACCTCCAAGAACAAGAGAGGGGGAGTGTTGGATGTGCCGCCAATTTCACAGCGGCAGTTGCCTCTCCAAACTATAAGTCAGATAAACCTTATGTTGGTGACATGGCACGGCACACCATGTAGTCGATTGTCTTGGGTTGCTCGTCCAGCAATTTAGAGATGGAGCAGTTGGATGTAGCCTCTGAGCTTTCACTTTGCAGCACACTGCACTCTTTTTGAGGGAACAGGCTGCATACAGTACAAAGTATCTCTAAACTTGCAGCTACATTACAGCAAATACATGACACTACTCCATCCGAACGGACGAAATGATACATGTGTACTCGGTTGTCCGGGTATTACTTCCTGAAGGCGTTCGTTTTGCTTCATGGTCATACAAGGAGTAATGGGCCGAAGAGCAGTAAGTATCCCCTACAGCCGCACTATACAATACTATATATACTCAAATACATAGCAGACCCAACACAGCAGTATATGGTTCACGCAGTAACCCCCGCACCAGCACATCTACTACACGTACCCCGGTTCTCTAAAGAGCGGTTTCATTGCGACAACTTCACGGCCTGAAGCGCTGTAGCGGGAGAGCACGCAGAAAACGTGCGGGGCTAAATGGCGCATCATGTGAATTCTGTTAACTGCTCTGTGGCCGGTTCTGCCACGCGCACCAAGTGCCTCAGTACGTAAAAGTGATCACAGGTATGTAGCCGCAGACAGACACCCGAAGTGAACTTGTCCTTCATTGGTTCGATTTGGCAGCAATCATCAGAACAACAAATGGCACCAGTTAGCAGCCTGGCTCGGTACGGGAGTTCCGCTCATTCGTCCACATATATGTACTGCTCTACACTCGCAAACGTTGCAAAGAAAGCACACAGGCGATGTGAGCAATGAGAGAGGGGGGGGGGCGGGCGGCCGACGCACTCAGCGGTTTGCTGGGGCTGTATTTTTGAGGGTGTGGTCTCAAGTGCTTGGTGGTCACGCACGTGCCCTGAAAAGCAGAGACCTGTTTCCTGCCTGGCCTCTCTCGTCAGCAAGAGCTACCTACAATAGCTACCCATTCTCAGTGCTGCTCGACGTGAAGGTCTGGCTCTTCCTAACCTGACCGCCCGCAAGCGGGCGAAACAGCTAGTGGAGGTAAAGGTTATGAAGTGATGGCCAGAGTGCACCACATTTGCGGCGGATCGACCGCCAGAGGGAGAAACCTCGGCCATGTTCCCGACCCTCTGAAGGCTGGCAGCCTAAGTTGATGTTGAACCTAGTTGAACCGCCCTGCGACGCTCTAATTGTACATTTTCTTCACCCGTTCCCGACAAAAAACCTTCGTGCTGACCGTTTGCTCTCTTGTTGTTCAAAACCGCAGTCTCGCCACGTACTTAGAGATACCGTACTTTGTTTGAGCGCTCTTCCCTTGGGCGCGTCCCCAGTCATTTTCGGCACGTCTTCGAACAGTTGTTGAAGCGTGCAAGTGTGCCGCCGCTTCCCACCCCTAACCGAAAACCCCACCTCCTAAAGTCTGGCTCTAGAGACCGCGGGTCTCCTCTGGAAGTATTGTTGTGTGTACCCCAGTGTAGCCCCTTGATGCTCAGTAAATTCCCCCCCATTAATAGCCCCGTTTCCCCCCCTCTCTCGGTCGTGTCCTTCTCCTTCTCCACGGCGCGTTTTCTGTCGAAACAGCGCCTTCAACGGTGCCGCCGTCACCACCGCCGCCAAGTCTTCCTCCGCGATGAAGATGTCCTTCGAGTCGGAGATCGGCGCGCAGCCCCCGATCGGGTTCTGGGACCCCCTCGGCCTCGTGACGGACGCGGACCAGGAGAGGTTCGACCGCCTCCGCTACGTGGAGATCAAGCACGGCCGCATTGCCATGTAAGGGGGGGGTGTGTGGCCCAGGAGGGGTTTTGAGCTTGTTTGGATTAGTTTTGGACAAGTTTCCAGGCAGCACACGAAGAGAACCGGTTCTGTGGGATAGATTTGGCTCGTTGGTCATATACTTTTACCGCGTTGCCGCTGGAGCGGATACGTAGTTGTGGTATCTGGATCTCCCTCCGTTGTTGTTGTCGTTTGTTGGCAGGTGCCTGTTTCGCCACCGTAGTTTCACGTGCATGCTTACATGAATGTCCTTTTACTTGCTGGTTACCGCTCTCGTACGATGCTTGTTGCCGGCGTTGTTGTTGCGTTGCACAAGGCTCGCGGTGGCGGGCCACCTCACCCAGCAGAACTACCGCCTCCCCGGCATGCTGTCCTTCAAGGACAACGTCTCCTTCGAGGACGTGCCCAACGGGCTCGCGGCGTTCTCCAAGATCCCGCCGCTGGGCACCCTGCAGATCATCCTCGCCATCGGCGTTCACGAGCTCTTCGTCGTCAAGCAGGTTCGTCGGTACCCCGCTGCCTGCCATTTGTTCACTGGTGTTTTGTTTTGCGGTCTAGATGCCTTTCCCGTGATCAAAGCAGCACAAGCCGCCCGCTGTTGGTGTTTGTTTTGCGGTGCATGACGGCATTCTTTCCTCGATCAAGCAGAGCACGAGCCGCCCGCTGTTTTGTGGTGCATGTGGTCCAGACGGCGTTACCCCCTCGATCAAGCAGGCGAGCCGCCCGCTATCTCTATAGCTTCCTTGAAACATGCTTGCGAAACGCCTCCCGGTCTACGGCGCCGCCGAGGGCCCGAGCTCTTGGTACAAAACTATGCACCCCAGCACGGACTCCTGGAGCATAATAACGGCTCTTTACGTTAGTGCCAGGAAGAACCTCGTACGAAGTGGGCCGGCTCGAAACGGGAGCGTGATTTTCTTTGAGGTTCTTGTCGAAGTAATCGAAGTGTCAAAACTCCTTCATGCTCCAGCAGGAGTCCGCGTCGGGATGCGTAGCTACAGTATGACCGAGACCTCGTGTCCTCGGCGGGCAAGGGCGTTGCCGTAGACCGGGGGGCTTTGCGTTGGTTGCCACACATGCCGTACACACTCTTGTGACCATTTTTTCTGCCGTCCCGCCCGCGCGCTGTCGATATTGATCGGAATCCGTCGCTGCCCGAACAACGACGAAACTTGATTATTATGCTAGGTGGAAGGCTCCTTCCCGGGAGACTGCACCACCGGCGGCAACATCTTCCAGTCGGCGTGGGACAACATGTCGGAGGAGACCCAGGCCTCCAAGCGCGCGATCGAGCTCAACAACGGCCGCGCGGCGCAAATGGGCATCCTGGCCATGATGGTTCACGAGCAGCTCTCGAACCAGCCCTACATCATCAACGACCTCGCCGGCGCCGCGTACAAGTTCAACTAAGCCGTCCGTCTTTTCTCCACGAGTTGTCGTACGTAGAGCGCTACTAAGGCCGGCAGGTATCTAGCTTCGGGTGCGGCGGTGGTGGTGACTGACCTTCTGAGTCCACCCGGGGTGCGGCCGAGGGGGGAGATGGGGCCAGCCAGCTCGACCGTTCCAGCGGAATGGGATTAGATAGAAACACCCCTCCCTGCATCCGTCATGTTTCTGTCTCCCCTTGTTTTTTTTTTTAATGTTTTTGTGGGCCCTTGTTTTGTACCAGTCGAGTAGGGGAGGGGGGCAAGGGAAGCCTTTTGCAGGACGGCGTTTTTGAGAACGAGGCATGCTGTTGCTGACGGCTTTTGAGCCCTCATACCGTCGCCTAATTTAGGTGTCCACACTAACGAGCTGGCTGTACAACTGAAGAAGCGGAGTTTTTCGATTCTTCAGGTTTTGCTAGTACGCTCGGTCCAATTTGAGCCCTGGTTCTGGCAGGGAAACCGCGTTCTCGCCATTTTTGTGCGTTGCGCCTGCTGTTTGTTTTGTCACCATCTGCGTTGGAAATTTTTAACACGAGGCACGATGTGCTGTGTCGCTGCCCCGTGCGTAGGTGTTGATGCACACTCCCTTTGGTGCTCGTTTGGAGAGCGGCATGTATTTGTGGCTTGCTCTTGCTCTCACTCGCGTAGACGATCACATCCCCTTATGCTCAGCTCCGCGGCATTCGCGTGTGTGTTTCGCCTGGAGAGGGAGGCGCTCTTCTTTTCTGGCCTATCGTGTGTATCACCACACGGGAAGAAAAGGAAACTACGATGTTTTAATTTGACAAACTCATGGCGCGGCTCTACATCCGCTGTCGAGTGTTGACCCCTTGGAACTCCGAAACAGGAGCCAGTGGTGGGTTTCTTTTTTCCCGCCGAGGATATACATATCCCTGGGTTGCAGTTTCATGTGTGTTGGCCCAGATTTCGCGCATGTGCCAAATTCCATACCGGTTTCGGAACGTCCTGCCGCGCTTCAACTCAAGCTGAGGGTGCGGTTAGGGGGGAAGATGGGGGTTAACCACACAAGTTTTGTCGGGACTTGCTTGATCGCCGACCCTCCCACGCATCATTCGATTCAAACAAACACGGCACAAAATCCTCCCGCTTGGTCGGGCAGCAAGCACCGCTTTGGAATTGTGGCTTTTCATGTGGACATGTTTTTTTTTTTTTTTGTCACACTTCCATGCATGTTTGGAAACTTTCTGAGTGTGTGTGCGGTTGGGGGGTCAGAAAAGGGGTCCAACACACCAATTTTGTCGTGACTTCTTTGATTGCGAACATGGCTTACAAAATCCCTTCCGCTTGGCCTGGAACAAGCGTCTGAAGCATTCGTCGGCAAACATGACTTACTTTCCCTTCCGCTTGGTCTCTGGAACAAATGTCGTGGAAAAACGAGCTGCGTTGTGCTTCAACTCTCATCTCATTCGTGCACCTCGTTTCGATTTCGATGAGCCACCTAAAGGTGTGTCAGTTCCTCTCACACAAAATCAAACCCCGCCGCTTTTGGAAGATGGATTGTAGGTTGCCGTGTGCCACGGCTGCTTTCCCCACTTGGAAGATGGCGTATGTTTCCAGACTGGCTACCTACATGTGCCCGCGGGTCTAGCGAGGGTATAGCCAACGTCCTCAAGACGCAAGCGTGTTTTGCACAATTCGTAAGGTAAAACAACCACGTTAGTTATTGGCGGTTTACGACAACCAACCAACCAACTACCGTGACAAAAAAGAGTGACCTACATACTAATACATGCTACTACAAATCGATGAGATAGGTACACAGATGCCAGGCAACAGCAACATATTCGCGCAAGGTCACCCTAGGAACGTGTGAGCCGCGAGTGGTCCGTTCTGCGCACCAATTGTTTCTACCTCATCGCTACTACCTTCCCTATCCTCGAAAGACTCGGACGACGTTGCGCTCGAACACACCTCCAGAACCTGCCGTCTATTTTCGTGTGCCTGCGGACAAAAAACCTACGACTCTTGGTTGAAGTATGAATTATTATTTTTTGGCTTTGGTGGAGATTAAATATGTCGGCGTTGTTGAGGCGAGTTTCTTCCACACGCTCCGTGTCTGTCAAAACCCCTACCAAACTGCAATGATGGGCCACACCGGTGTTACCGACCTCTCCCCCCACCACAAGAAAGGTACCCACTCCCGCGCCCCCCTAGACATCGTACGCATATACTACAGGTAATAGCACAGCATGGGAAACGCCCACCACGTGCGTGTGTGTGGCTAGCCGCGCGCTGCGACGGATACATGCACTACGACCTACTACTACTCTAGCGCGAACATATACACGGGGAACAGCTCCCCGGGGAAGCCGTCCTGTCGCGTCTGGTGCACCACCCTCACCCCGCCGTGGTTGAACAGGCTCCGGAAGTAGCCCAGCGACCGCGTCATGCTGCTGTCCTCGCTGTCCACCTTGAAGGCCCCCTCCCCTTGCCCGATGACGTTGTCCTTGACCACGATGAGCCCGCCCTTTCGGAGCGCCGACCGGCACCGGGCGAGAAGCTTGAGGAGGTCCACGTCCGTGAAGTGTCCGACCACCCACTGGATCCAGACGAGGTCGTAGCTGTCCTCCGGGGGGAAGAAGTCCTGCGGCGACGCGGTGTGAAGCAGCAGCGGTAATAATTTTAGGCGACCAAGAAAACAAGAGGCAAGCGAAGAGGAGAGAGGCCGTCCTGGGCAGAGGACGAACGTACCCTAGACTGCCGTGGGATGCATCCAAGCTCGTTGCTCTAGGCAAACAAAACTGATAGTGAAAGTTGGTTTGCGTGTTGTTCTTCTTGTGGTGTCGAAGGGCTCTAAAAACCTGTTTGGGTGGTGTGACAAGCAGCTCGTGGCCAGGCTGAACGCCTGCAAAGGTAGCAAACACGTCCAATCACGAAGGGTGTTCTCGCATCATCATCATTGCACAGTCGTGCATGGGTGCGGTGCCAAAGGAGCAGAGGAACCGAGAGCTGACACAGTACGGCAGAGTGGGGATTACCGCGAGCAGCGCCAAGAAGATGGCAGCCGGAGGGCTCTCGCCCTCCCCTCACATCTATCACACGGGACTGCACAAAGTTTACGCCACGACATCTCATGGTCTCGGGTGCAAACAGCTGGTCGTATCGTACAAAAACGACTTGAGGGTCGCGTGTTTGCTCACGGCACACGATGTAGCGGGACAAGCGATCGGATGCCACGTTGCCAAGAATAAAGTACCGTTTCTCCTCCCATACCTACGTGTCACCTCGCCGCGAACGCCGAGAACAAGCACACCATCCATGAGCATCATAACTCGCGTCTGTGTGTGCGTGCCCTCGGACAACTCTCTCTCACCTGCAGACCGACGCACACGCACGTCGTGCGATCTCTATCTCGCCCCACGTACTTGGGCGCGGCCTGGATGAGCCGCGGGCTCTGCTCCACGATGTCGACGGTGTCGAACCGATCGAGCAGCAAGTGCTTGGTGACCCTGCCGATGCCCGCGCCACAATCTGATTTTCGACGCAGCGACGACAGCAACGAAAATGTCAAAAATATAAAATATACATACGAAAATAATCACTTCCAAGATATTCTGAGGGGTCAAGCTTGGACAACACGCACCGTATTTCTTGCGGATCGCAAACAATGAGGCATCTCGGTTGGGGCGTCATTGGGAGACAGGCGTGCCACGGAGAAATTGGTGGTAGAACTCCGGCTCAATCGTCGTCGGGCACAGCCTTCAGTTTCTTGTTAAAACTGCTGTATTCCACAACCTTTCCGGCCACGCTCGCTATGTGAATAAGTAACACGCCACATTCACGAGGGGAGCGGACGGAAATGACTCTCAACTCAACGCTTACAAAATTCCGTCCGTGTCTGCACACTCTCTGTACGCGGCAGAAGGCCCCCAAACTTTTGTTAGACCCTAGCATATTCATAGCGCGGGCTTGTTTGTGTGCTGCCGAGTGCAGGTCCTCCACGCACAGACAGCAGCAAGAGCGTGCCCTGTCGGTCCGATCGATCGATCACCCACATGTGAGTGTGTATGTGTGTGTCTAGCTTACTTGCTGTGTACGAGTAAAGGGGAACAAACACCGGTACCTCAACGTATTTCATTCGATCACTTCTGACCCATTTCATCTAATACTGCTGTACCCCGATCAACGGCACCCCCACCTCCACCCCCGAACCTCCCCAACGCCCACCTGCCGCGGTTTCGTCGCCAAGGAGAGGTCTCATCCTCTTGAGCTCGTCCAGAAACGCCGCCGAGCCAGCTATGTCGGTGGGGGATATGTGTCCGTAGCCGCCCAGGACTCCGTCATCATCAACCGGACAGTTGTCGCCGTCTTCCCAGTAGTCGTACGCTCGCTCGTACCATTGCACTGCTCCGCCACCGCCGTCGCCGCCGGTGCTGTTGCTAGACGCTGGTTTTGTGGATTGAGGCCGCGCTTTTGCAGACTTGTCGCCGATTTTTTCTGGTGGGGTGGTGGTGCCTGTCGCCTCACCCCCCCCCGCCGGTAGCGCCTGCTGCCCGACAATGGTTAAAAGAAGGGCGCCCGGTGTTGGGTGGCGTCGCGGTTCTTGCGAGAACAAGGTAAACAAAGTACGTACGTCTGGCTTTCGTTCGGTGAGCCGTTGTGGTGTGTCTGAGCGGGCGTGAGGGCGGGCTCTGCTGCTGCCAGCGATCGACCATATGAATACGTACAGAGGTCGAAGCTTCCTAGGGGACGAGGACGGGCTTGGTGTCAGTTCGCAAGAGAGGGCATCGATTGTACAGCTGCACGCTACTTCGCCGTGTGAACACTGCGTCGTTGGTGTCCCGGATAACCACCTGTTTTTCCGTTTCCTCGAAGGGTCAATCTGACGTGTACAACGGGTGTTCCCGTCCTTTCGTCGTCCGCAACCAGGGCATGCTACATACCATGCAGCAAATCATGCTATAATATGAGTTCACTGCCAACTATATCCCACAGACTCTTATCTGTGGAAGAAGAGATGAAAAGGTCGTGTTTTTGTACGTCTTCGTCTCTAAGGGCAACCTACAGACTTGCATCCTAGACTTCAGTTTCCAGGTTGCAGTTTCGGTGGATGAAGTACAACAGCAGCCAGCGGAATTGAGCGGGTAACGATGGTCTTCTACTATCCTGGGCCAGAATGACCAGTAGTCAGAAACGTAAAAGGAATCAAAGAAGGGTGCCTCAACCCAAGACAGGATTCATGGGGGTGAGGGGTGAGGTCAAGCCCCTGTTGCACTGAAGGTCACCCAGCGGGGTCAACTGCGGCGGAACTTCATTCGTTCGAAGGATACGCGGGTGGTATATGTAGACGAGGCAAAATATCATGTACATTGAACAACAAGGCAGGTTCACCGTTCATGAAACGACGTGGGAGGGGGGGGAAGGTGGTGTGCGCTTCGTGAGAGACCAAAGTAGCCGCCACAGAAAGCCTCCAACTGTATCGACTGGGATGTCGATGTAGGACATGTAGCCACTTGCCATGGGTCCAAAACCAAGCTCCGAAGACCACATCGCCGCAATGCTTGAGTGCTCCGTGCCGTCAGTAGCGCACCCGTCCGTTGGAAGGCCGGCGAGCTTGAGATCCCTGTGGACCTTGTCGCAAAGCTCAAGAACCTGCTGCTTACGACTCATCTTCTTCTTGTCTTAGCCAACAGAGAGCAGAGAGAGAGAGGTGAGCAGCTCAGCGCTTAGAGCGTGCGCAGAGATCGAACGAGCATTAGGTTGGAGGCATGTTCTCATCGTGTGTGTTTGAGGGGGACGCCCTTAAATATCCCCCCGCTACAAGGAATACTGGGAGAACCCTCTGTCTGGGTGCTGGGTGATGGAGCAGCGCTGCTGCCGTGTTACGCCCTTAAAACGCCCCTGACATCCATTTGCTCCTTTATCTGGTCGCGCTGTTGTGTACTGTCAGCAAACCATTCCGCAAGGCGCTCCAAGCTCCCGAAGCAGCACATTTTTTCGGATCGAGGGGAACAAAACAACGCTGTTGTTCCGCATTGCTCCGCAGAACTTCTCCCTCATCATGGCATGAAACGTGAGACATGTCCATTGCTGTGGGTACGTTGCATGTCTGGATGGACATTAATAGCTCGAACCCACACCACTGCTACCCTGCCCCTTCCGTACGCTAAACAAAGCAAAAGGTCTCCGTTCCCATTCATTCCTGCCGTCTCCCGAGCGTGAACATGACGATAAACAAAACTCAGCCGCCAAGATAGACTAAGGCGAAGGGAACGAGACAAGATGCAACAACACGAACGACGCACCCACAAAAAAACAAAGCGCTGCGGGTTACATAGGACTACAATACTTCTTGTACCGAACAAAAAACGACCTCCAACAATTACGTGGAAGCACACCGTTGCACCGCGCGATGTGATGGCGTGGGCCTCAGCTCCCCCAAACTGATCAATCAAGGCTTCGGAGCGCAGGGCAAAAGAGACCCTTGGTCGTACCCACACCTCAATCCCATCCGCACAACAATTACCGGCAAAACGTACTTTCTCGACACGTACGTCCTCGTCTTACCGCCGACCACGACTGCTTCAAGAACCATGACAACCTCGCCCTTCTCCGCCGTCATCCTGGAGTTACAGTTTGTTCTCCACGTCCAAGAATAAGAATAAGAATAAGTGCAGAGCAACACAATGAAGACGTCCACGCCAACACTTGCTGCGTGTCTTCCTGTTGGGTTGCGCGAGACAAGAGGCACCAAAAAATATTGGGTAGGAACAAGCAACCTACGAAGGAGAAAAACACGCCAACCCAAGATTCTCTCTGAGGCGGGAGGGCCGGGGGCCCGGGGGGCTCTTAAGCTGAAGGCTATAATCTCTAACAGGGGTGTTGGCTGGTTGCCCATATGCCTGTCGGCCGATCCGGTCCAGCAGACACCTCGCCTTGCCCCCACACGTCTCGCTCATCGCTACAAAAAAAAAAAATGTGCAACTACAGCAGTACGGCCGCGATCGACTGCCTTCCCCACAAAAAAGATGGGTCCATCTCAAGAGCAAGAGCCGAGACACCATCAACAACCCAAACAGAAGAGACTAAAAACTTGCAGCGTTCCCAAATCTTTCAAGCGGAACCGAGGGACATGCCATGGTAGGCCACAGCCAGGTCAGGCCAGGCGGCCATGAAAAACCATCGGTTGACCGGAGCGCAGCACGCCAACCCACTGGAAAGCGACGGCAGCCCAGAGCCAAGCCTCTACTGATTTGGTCGATTGGTGGCGCCAATGGTCGCAGTTGCCCGCCTTCCCCTGTGTGAGCGCGAATGATTTACCACATGACGGTACGAAACGTCTCTGTCTCCAGTCGTTCGTCACCCGAAATGGAATGGCATGCCCCCCATGCCTCCACCTCCGCCCCCCCTTCTCCCGCCCCCCATCCCCCCTCCTCCTTGTTGCATGAACATGTGGAACAGCATCGAAGGGTCGATCTCCATGCCGCTGCGAAGAGGAGGCGCACAGAATGTCGACAGGGGGGGCGCCGGGGGGGGAACAGGGGGGGGAGGGGAGACGTGTGCTAAGAGAAACTTTCAACGAGAGGGACTATGTTAGACAAAAGGTGGTTCTATGGAATAAACAACGACACACGAGCGCTGATTTGAAGCGAAGGTACGGGGGCACCGCCAAATCTGTGGAAACAATGGCAGGTCAACATTTACACCCAAGACTCAACAGATTCGGCTTCCATGACTCTCCGCGGAAAAAATAAACAAGGTGGGCTGCATCTGTAGGTGGGAGCAGAGCGAGGCAGCAGCTGCTGCACTCGTTCGCATATATCCACCATCGAAGGGTGGTTTACGGCAATAACGTCGGAGTCGTCAAATCGTCGGGAAATTCTTGCTCGGCGCCTACCAAGAAAAATTATTGTGCGTGTCACGATCGCATCTCACTCGCTGTGCCTCCAAAGCCCGTACATACGGTATATTCCCGCCCGCTCTGCATTGTGCGCGCAACCTGATCACATGTGCCGATAGAAGGGGAAAAATCTCCCAAGTGGTCTCGCACTACACCCGCTAGAACAACGCCATCTCGATCGATCGTGAGACCCCACGCAACAGACAGCAGTGCAATCTTTGGGGGGTGAGCCCACACAGGAGAATTTCAATCTGCGAAATGACCCCCCCCACACCGAGAGGTGAAACGAACGAATTTCCGATTGTTGAGGTCTCAAGATTTTTGGGTTGTTGGAGAAGAAGTCACGCGGGGAATCACGGGGTGGCTCTCGCAGTACACAACTACCGAGGAGCGCAATCCGTGCGATGAGGCTTGTCATCCACGCAAAAGGGGCCCAGTATATTCACGGGGGGGTACCTCACAACACACGAAATGCTCAACACGTACCCCCCGAGATCCTCACGACCTATACTGCTGCGAGTATTTAACGTTGCCCCTCTGCTCGCAACAGTGTCTTCACTGCAAACTTCGCACACACACACCCCTTGCCCTTCCCTCAGCTTACCCATGCCCTTGCCCGTGACCCGCGTGCGGGTTGTCGAGGTCCTCGAGATCCACTCCCGAGTCGTAGCGACCCTTCTTTGTAGGGTCTGACAACACCTGAGGCAAAGAGGACGGGGCAGAGAGGGCGGCTCGAGAGTTTTAGCAGGAGGAGGGAAAAAGAACCAAGTTTTGAACCAACCTGTAGCTGCACCCCCGTAGAAATAGCGGACCGGAAGGAGAAATAAACTACCAAGTGTCTTTCCTCCGTCTGAAAGTTGGAGGTGCTCGGCAGAAGCAGAACTGGTGAGGCTGTGCCAAAACACCACCACCCTTTAGCAAAGGGATACCAACACTATCCTCCCCGAAAAATGGTGGTCGAGTGGATTACGTCGGCGGGGTCGAGAACCCTCACTCCGCGCAAAAGGGGAGAATCGCACCATGTTATGTTAAATTGGTCAAGCACCCTCGAGACAGTTACACAGTGTTTACAACTGTCTCTGGAAGTCAAAGCACCAGAAAATAAAGCAATTCAGTAGCAGCTGTCATCCGTATCCAACGAAAGTAAGCGCAAGAAGCCGAACACCCTTAGCAGGGTGAAGCGCAACCCCCATGCGACTCGCCGAACACCTCACGGCGCTTCGCGCTTGTTAATGCGCTAGCCTGGTCCGGTGAGAACCCGGCGTGCTCCGTCCCTTCCTTGTAGGGATGCGAGGTCAATTGGTCGAAAGACTACGGCATGCACGGCTATGAGTACCCCCTCCCCCCCCCCAACCGCCTGCCTGTCGTGTACCCCCTTCCCCGGCCCTCCTCACCTCGTATGCCTCCGCAATGTCTCGGAACACCTTTCCCGCTTGCTCCTTTTCCTCGTCGGTCTTGCTGCTCTGTCTGTCCGGGTGGTACTTGAGCGCGGCCTTGCGGTACGCCTTCTTGATCTCCGCGTCGTCCGCGCTTCTAGACACCCCCAGCAGCTGGTTCGGTTTTTGAATTCATTCCATGGGCGCGATATTCTAACTCAGATTCTCGAGAAACAGGCGCCAAGAACTGAAGGGAAAGGATTGCGAGGGCATGCTCGACAAGATCACGAAAGAACGTGACACGTACATCTTCAACCAATCGCAGCAGTGGCGCTCGTGGCACCCTTTCAAGCCTCTTATCAAGGTTTAACAACATTGAGAATTCGAAGGCTACAGTCACAACAATACGAGCCAGAGATTCGGGCAAGCGAACGCTAGGTAACAAAGCAAGAACAGGGACGGCAATAGCAGCAATGCCAAGTGCCAATGCGTGTGCACCTTGTAGTAGTCTTTCCTCTTCGCCTGCTTCACCGCCGCCTTCGTCTTGCGGATTTTCCCCTGGATTTCCCTGACAATAGCACAACATTCATAAGAGCCACGGGGGAACGCTCGTAATCATTACATCTGACGCAAAAAACGGCGTCAACACACCGACTCCAATCCTTCTCGGCAAGCCCAACATAGGAAACGGAAAAACAAGCTTGAATATCGTCTCGGCACCCTGGCGCTTGCAAAGACAGATGAATTGCAAACAGTTGAATCCTTCAAACCAGCTTGCCCGTCGTGTCATGCATCTTTAACCTTTCTTCATATGCCAGCAATGTACCGCAGGAGAGGCTAAAAAAGGAACCACCACGGACAACATTCTAGTTTCATCAATCGTGTACTTGAACACATTGGAAGAAGCCATCGACATTGTAGGTATCACATACTAGGCGCTCCGAACGTGCTAGTGACGCATGAAACGAACGCGCACCTCTGCTTCTCGTCGGGGATCATATCCATCAGTTTCTCGTAATCCCGACACGCCGCCTCGAGGTTCTCGACTCCGCCTTCATCGGTTATCGCCATCACAACACACCCGGAACCATCATCAACAAGAGAGCATCACGATACGAAACAAGCGACAGAGGAGGCGGGGGGAGAGCGAGAACAAAAACGTCAGGGATAAGGGGAGCGAAAACACGCCAGGTACCATGTTCGACGCTGCGGGAAGAGAGAGGGGTGGTCAGGAGGGGGAGCGGGACACATAATGCCTGCCTTTTTACAAACCATGTCTCCCGTCTTACCCATGTCATACAGGCTGGTTGCTCGTCGCTCGTAGGCTTTTGTGTACGTCGGGTCGTCGCTCAACGCTCGCGAAGCTTCCGCCACGGCCTCCTGGTGCTTCGACAACTGGAATCAATAATCAAGAGCGGCAAGGATCAACGATTATGCAACGGCAACAGGCAACGACGACAAAGAGGGAGTCACTACACGGTGCCGAATATCTGAGCGCCAAAGGATGGAGAAATAACAGCACGGCAACGACAAGAGACAGGGCATCGACCAACCACTGCTGCTGCAAAGAGCCTCGCTATCATGATACTGCTGTAGGAAGAAACACACGAGAATATATGTCACAATCAACGCAACACGCACATTTCACGAGAGACAAAGCTCGGAGGCCGGCCGGCCGGCCGGCCCACAAGCCGGCACCAAAAAGCGGCTACTCTTAACCATGACCAGCGACAAACAAAAGAACCCCCACCCTCGAGACATTACGGACAATCCCGACCCCAAGACGGATCGATCCATGTACATCGTCCTCGCCAAACCCCAAAGCTAAGACGGATCGACCCATGTACAATACATAATCATCGTCACCTTCGCGTAGGCCGCCGCGCGGTTGCAGTAAAGCTTAGAGTTGAACGACTTGTTCGTCTTGTCCACCGTCAAGGCCTCGCCCCACGACCTGATGGCCCCCTCGAGGTCGTTAGCCTTGAAGGCCTTATTCCCCGCCTCCTTCGTGCTCTCCATGAGCTTGTACTTCTTGATGAGCCCTCTGTACTCGGAGTTGTCCGGGTCTTGTCTCGCGGCCTCCTGCAGAGAGTGGAACACGCAACACGCCGCAAAAAAAAAAAAAAGTATCCGCACCGTTGGCACGCGACAAAGACACACACGAGCCAGTTGATCGCGCGTGTGGACTGCGTGTGAAGCGAACGAGCACTGAGGCCGTCAATTTCGCGTTTGTGATATTTTCCCTCTTCATTCTACATACAGCAAAACTGCACTGTAGACAGTGCGTGGGGGAGGGGGGGGGGGGTCTCCTCCCTCTACATGCCTGCAGGTGGACTGCGGGTAAAGGGAACGAGTACAGAGGCTTATGTTCGCGTTGGCGCTGTTTTCTCTCTCTTTCTCGCACAGCAACGTACACCACTGTACTAGTTCCGGGGGGGAGGGCAGGGGTCTCCTGCCTCTACATGCCTGCAGGTGCTTGATCGCACTGTCGAGATTCCCCATGAGGTAGAGGCACCGCGCTCGCGTGATGAGGAGCTTGGAGTTGTTCTGGCTGTTTCGGATGAGAGTCGAGCTCATCGCGTACGCCTCCTCGTGCTTGCCCATGCCCATCAGGCACTCCACCTTGATCAGCTTGAGCTCCCTCGACTGCGGAGCCTTGACGAGGCACTCCTCCAGAATCGAGGCCGCTCTCGCGGGCTTGCCCTGTTCTTGCGAAAACACCACGGAGACACACAGAGGGAGAGCGAGAGATAGAGAGCGAGAGCGAGAGAGAAAGAGAGAGAGAGAGAGGAGAGAGAGAACCAAAACAGAAGGCGCGAGATATGGAAAGAAGGAGGGACAAATGACGAAGACGCGTACGAAAGGGAGAGAGCGAAGCACCAGGGAGGAGAAAGAGAGGGGGGGGGAGAGAGAGACAGCGCTCTTTGCGAACGAATAGGCTATTGGGTTTGTCAAGGAACAAATAAGCGATGGGCTTCACCACCACCACTCGAAACAGGGGAAGAGCAACAGCTACGGCACAGACAGCAGCAGCAGCAGCAGCAAAAACGAGAAACAGCACCACCGCCAGGGGTGCAAGCAAAAAACACCATCGGGGGGGGATCGGGGGATACCCGAATCAAAGCAAGAGCTGGCCGTCGGTACCACGGTGGGCTATATTTCCCCACGGGGGCTATCCTGCTTTTTGACTTGTTGGTCCACACCCTATTATAGTCACTTCTCTATAGACGCATTCCAGGAAGGCCGTCTTTCGTGACCCTAGGGCAGACTGATGAGACAAACAAGGCGATTTCTTGCATCGCGCCCTCCAGTAGCAACAAAGCACGCCAAATTCACCGCCCTTAACTGCAACCCGAGGCTTCGCGCACTGCCGTCACCAACACCGCCACCATCACACTATGTCGACCGTCACTTCACGATCGATAACTCAACACCACCACCAAACACTCCCGGCCACCGCCATCTTTGTCGCACCTGCGCCAGCGAATCCGTCGCTCGGTGCACCTTGCGCACGCACATCTCCGTGTTGGTCTTCTCCTTGATCTGGTCCGCGTTGTTGGGGTCCACCAACAGCCCCTGCTGAAGCGCCGAGAGCGACTCCTTGAATCGGCCCTGCCAGGCACGTTTGCGTTGCGTTTCGTTTGGTTTCAGGCGGAGCGGTGGGATGGGGTATGGAGTGGGTGGGGGGGAGGGGGCAGGAGGAGCGGGGTTACCACCGAAGGGAAAACAAAATCAAAACATACGCCATACACCACAGAACATTCCAGACAATGCCTGTCGATGTACTCCACAGCGATCACACGCACTGACTTGCTGCGGCTGTCGAGTTGTTGATGTTGTCTTGACATGCTAATGGGTAGAGATTTTCATCCAGCACCTCCTCTTCCCCCGACTCTCTTCCAAGGCAACCAAAACGAATGTTCCTCAAGAGTACACCCCGCCGAAATCGGGCCCGATTCCTTGCTTTACCTGACACGAAAAAAATCAACAACCACAAAACCAAACACCAACACCGCGGTTTCATAGAACGGAGAGAGGGGGGGGGAGGGGAGCAAACACTAGCCTAGGGCCGAGTCACAACCTGTCCGCCTCCGTCTTCAATGGAAAACCTTGGGAGCGTTCCGAATAACACCTCGGTGTGGGCTACCGACCCCGGGACCAAAACAAACGGCACACTTAGAGAACCAGTACGACCCCCAACGCCCTCGGCTGCCTTGAGATACTCCGCTGTTTTTATCATTCACAAAGACGGAACAAAATACAGCACAGGGATGTATCCTCACCAGCTTAGAAGAAACAAACAAGCAGACCCTGCAACATAGATGTATGCGTGCATCCTCACCAGCTTCTTGAGCGCCATGGCCTTTCTGAAGATGGCGTTCGCGAACTTGGGGTTGAGCTCGACGGCCCTGTCGCAGTCCAGGATCGCCTGCTCGTACCCCAGGATCATCACGTACGACGCCGCTCGGTTCCCGTAGAGCGCCGCCACCGCCACGGCGTCGAAGGCTTCTTCTGGCTTCTCGCCGCCGCCGTTGCCCCCGTTCGCTCCGCCGCCCTGCTCCTCCCTCTGCTGTAGGCACGCCTCGATGCCCTGGGTGTACACGGCGATCGCCCCGCGGTAGTCCTTGGCCTGGTTGGTACGGCGCCGTGGTATCGCATCATGGGGGTGGTGGGTTCGTCAGGAGAGCCTCGGGTCGAGCTTGCCGACGTACACAGCACGTCATGGGTGAGACTGGTGTGAGGGTTTATTGCGACAACAGCTGCAGGCTCATAGGCAGCCACGACGGGTGACTCCGAGAAATAGAGCCGTTGAAGATGTGCTCGTGTGTGCCTACCCTCCGGCCGTCTTCCATGGCTCGTGAGCATGCAGGAGGGCTACAGGTGCAAGAGAGGGTCGGAGCAAGCCATGAACACACTCTCGAGGATCTGGCTTTTCTCTTGCGCCGTGGCATCAAATACAATGATACTTCATGTGTTTCTCATGGACGGTAAAAGCCACTCTCTCAACACCATTCATTTTTCTATTATGCACTATCTGTTTAACCACTACTGCTGAATGTCGCGATTCCGACCCCCCGACCCCTTCGTGCCCCTCCTATCACGCCACCTCTCCACGTGGAGATTCGCGACACTTTTGACACGACCAGTCCATATGTTTCGACTTTTTTCAGTTGAGAACGCATCTCCACCTCCAGCACTGCACCGGTTGCAGCAAGCGACCTGCAGCAAACCCCCTGAACATCTCGCTACAAGTGCTTACATATGGACGACTATGGAAAACGTTTTTCACCGCATCGCCTCAACACCCTTTGTTTTTTCTTCTTGCTCCAGATGTCGCGAATATTCTCTGAAAAATCAGGACTTTTTTGATGAGAAAAAAGTCGTCTTCAATTGCTGTATGTTTAAAGTAGTTTGAAACCCCCGAAAGCCGCCAACCAACACACACGGTTACCGAAAGACGAGACTCACTACAATGTATCTACTTGTGAGGAGATTGACCCATGGCGCCGCAGAAAACTTCCACTGATGATGGATGTAAATGTACCAGGTGAACTTGCGTGAGCCATAACTAAACCGCACTTCACTTCGTTTTCACGCGGCCGCGCACAAAAAACCATTGGCACGGCTGCATGGTTACAATAGTACGGTATTAGGAAAAATATATATTCTTCGAAGTACAAACACAGAAAGACTGCCATTCGAGAGATATATGCTATAACCACAGCGACTCCTGTAGGTACATGCAATTTGGGAGCGGCCGCTGTTGTGAATCTCCTTTACAACCTGTCGAAACGGCTCCGAAAGCTGGTCGGTGAACGTCAAGACAGTCGGCAGCTGGACACGCCTCTCACCTCTTGACAGGCACATCTCATCTGTCTTACTCCGAGCAACGTCTGGCAGCATGGTGGCTGTCGAATATGCGGAGTACAACAAACCCTGCGAAGGCTACTAACAGGACCGCCCTCTGCGAAGGACACTGCGCTCCTAAATTAATGTTGTTTCCTGAATACAAACAACACGCTGCGAAAAGGCTACTGCTGCTGTGGCTGTCACTCAAGAGCGAGGCACAGCAGCATCTCATACAAATGAACCTCAATGTCTTGGACCGAAACACAGCAGTACGGGATCAGCACACGAGCCGAGGCTTGGTCCACCACTTTGAGGTCGCGCTCCAGTCAACAGGTGCCTACCGCTGCCCCGCTCCCGAGAGATATCTAGAACATGCAGTACTTCGGAGATTTCGGGGAAATCCGGCCCCCGACAGACGCCAATTTTTCTCTCGCCAGACTGACGGAGCTTCGTGCACCACGTCGGCGATAGCAGTCGAACGCCAACCTTACGGAGACAAAAGTCGAGTTTGATATGGTCTTCGACAGGCACCGATGACGGACGCAACGGCACATTGTCGGACGGATGGTGGAAGTCCCTGTGTAAACTACACTGCTTAAAGGTGTTCGTGGCGAAAATCAAATTCCCGTCGTCCACCCAGAGCAGCAGCAGAATGGGCCGACCGTCAGGTAAACAGCAACACTCGCCTCCGGTAAACCCACAAGAGCTATTCACGAAATAAGCCCCACCGTGATGAAACAAGCGATGTCAACGCTCTTCTTATTCAATGGTCGAGGTATCGCCATCTATACTTGCAGCTCACGAGGAGAGGATGCTCGAAGAGAACAGCAGATACCTCTCTACCCTCCCACACAAACACACCTTGTACAGATCACCGGCCTTCGATTTCCACTCCTGCGGAGTCAACACCACGTTGATTTCGTCTTCCGACGAATCTCCCATCTCATCGTCCGAGTCCGGTACATAATCCCCCTCCGTCGCCATTGTTTTCCCTATCCGTGGCCAACGACAGGGGGCTTTGGAGGTGGGTGCCGGTGGGTCGTCCCCGCGCACCTTAGCCAAGCCTAGCAGCGGCCACACAGCTGGGATGTTTACAGTAGAATGAAACCCACCTAAATGTTGTCTGAGCGTACGACCCCCCCCCAACGGATCTTCGGCGCCCGAAAATGGGCCAGCCAATCATAGGCGGGGGATTTGGGCTAAAATTATAGCTGGGGGCGTGACAATAAAACCAAGTGAAGTTTGACCAAAAACCTGCTGTTCCACCACGTGTTCCGCCGCGTGGAACACTTTTTTCCACCGCACTTTTTCAAATGGGGGCCAAGACAGCGATCAGCACCAGGACACATACGACACAAACGACCACGGTTATGATCAGACCGAGCACGCCAGGAGTGTAACGAACATGGCAGATCCACCTATCCCTCTCGCCGCGACCAATGGCAATGCTCCTGGTGCTCATGGCCGAAGACGGCTCCTCGGACCGCGAAAACCGAGGCAGAGAAAAGGGTACGCCGCCTTGTATGCCTTGAAGCCCGCAGAGGTTTGTTTCAAGTGCGCGTACGCCGAACGCAGCGGGTGCACGGAGGGGACAGACGGGAGTGACAGAGGCTACAGTGGAGCGTGGCATGCAGCAGGCCAATTGAGGGCAAGCCGTACGTACGATCATAAGCACTTCGAGCAGTATTGCGCAGCGCACTGGCCTGAAATCATGGAAAGCACGAGCGGAGGCCGGGTAGCGCGGCCGCTGACTGCAGGGGCAGCAGCGGGTGCGTCTTCCGCGGCTGAACCCGGCTCACGTTCCGCAAGCAGCACGAGCGGTGCGGGTGCTGACATTGACCAGGTTCCCTTGGTCGCCACTTTTCCTCACCCAGGAGGGGCAGAGGTTCAGCTAAAGAGGCTATCGGACTTGTTTTTCAACGGGCAGTCCTGCCCCACGAAGGAGAGTGCCGATGCTCCACGGGTGTTGTCGCCCCGAACACAGCGGCACACGGAGCTCACGGATAAAGCGGTTAGGGAGGCGGTGGCGAAGGTTGTGCATCCGCTCAGGAAAGGGATGCCGAGGCTGACGAAGGATGGGTCACTGTCGGACTCCGGGAAATGGGGAGACGCTTGGAAGGATCAATCCAAATGGCCTGGGGCGTACATGCGTCTGGAGGATTCGGGGATACGTGCTATGCGGTCCAAAGGGGATGGTGACTGGACGGCGTAGTCCAAGGAACTTGCGCGGATACACCACCTGGTGACCGGAACTGTCGTGTTCGTCATGCCTGAGGTGATTTGCACGAAACAGTAGTCGTAATAGTCGGAAGAACATAGTTTTGTATGCCTGCACGTGCAGGCTTCTCTAGTCTCGACAGCAGTACGGCAGTAGTCGGGAGTACGACACAAGATCATACACCCACATGAGATAAGAGACACCCCCATAGAGTACAACCCGGTGATTTGTACGACGAAGTGTTGTCCCCGGGGTTTAGTAGGATTTCGAACGAGTACGCGGCTCCAACAGTCAAGGGACAGAGGTTCCAGCGACATGTGTGTCGTGTGTGCAACGAACGTTCCTGCTGTATGAAGTATACAAGTACGATGATGAGAGCCTCGCCGTTGATGAATGAACGCGCCCCCCAAAACCACGCATCTCTGCCTATCTGGGAATATGTGTCTAAGTATAATGTAAACAGCACTCGCGATGATTCTACATTTTGCTCCTTCCTACCGCTGAATGTTCAGGTTTTCGACAGACAAGCCCTATTGGCATCGAAAGAATTTCAAGTCATTCGGGGTGACCGGGTGGTTGGCGCACGGTTGATTTGCCCGACCTGCCGGAGCAACGCCCACACGAGTTGGGCTTCGTGGAGCGACGTGAGGACGAGTGTTGGCATTTCCCTGCTAGTTGCTGCTGTGCAATAGCAGACGTCGTAAGAATGTCTTGGTATTTCCCTGTGTGTTGCTGCTGTGCAAATATGGTGGGCATGTCTTCTGTGTATTGCTTTATTTTTACGCGGTGGGCGCATGCCAATCACCTGATGTTAAGGTGTTTCTGTTCGCGGCGTTTCTACATCTATCAGATCCGAGCGGTTCACAGCATGTCTGGCGAGAATTTGCTCATTTGCTCAGCCCGCCACCGATGCTTGGGGCCGGAGTGCCGAGCTGTAACGGACGCCACGATTGCAGCCATGAAACGGCGAGACGACGGTGGGGAGGCGAGGGTGCAAGCCAAGAAGAAGGGAGCGGATAGCGTGGACAGTGCACCCGACGCTGTGAAGGCGGCGTTACGCAGGGGTGATATCAAGTGGGAAGGATGTATGAGTCTTGTCAAGACTCTGCTCAAGGGAGGCGTGTCTTTCACGATTTCGGACCAGAGGTGTGATTCTCTCGTGCCGCATAAATTGGCCGTTGATGGCAATGGGGCATCTCCCTTTCGGGCTATTGTTTGTCCAGCTGGTTGTTTATTACAATTCTCGCACGTGCCGTCAACATTCCTGACCGTTTCGATTGTTCCCGGTATCGCTGCTCTGTCGCCCACGAAGTTACATGAGACTTCTTCCGGCGGCTGTCCAAGCGAAGTACGACTTCGAGTGCTTCGGTAAGGGTGGCGCCGATCATGCCCTTCTCGACCTCACTGTGACAGGAGCGCAGCCTGTAGCGGCTTTGCACCGTCAAGCGAAGGAGGTACGCTAGGGGGTGTTTGTTGTGCCCTGAATACCTGCGGTCAAATAAATAATATCTTACAAGTGCAGAACGGAGAGTAGACCTATAAACTCGGCAAAACTAGGATCGGGGTTTATTTTGAAAGTGCTTTCCCGATGCAACTCCAGATGCTACTCCAGAAAAAAAAATCATATGGTTTGCGTACAACGATGGCCTCTGCTTGGAGTTTCGGTTTTACTTTGCATTATGGTCTATTGATGTGTTATTCTTGCAGGCATACGACTTCAAGCAGAGACAGAGGCACACGTGCTGGAACGTGTTCGCAGCGATGCACAAGGGCTCAGGAGTGTTCCCGAAGTTGGGGGTGGTGGGGAGCGGCGCCCTTCTATCTGGCCCCTCTCAGGCATACATGGAGACGTACTGCTCGAAGTCGTTCCAGGCGGTGAGGAACGCTTGGAAGGAGGGCTGTAGTTTTGAACAACTACGAGTGTTGGGTATGCTTGCACATGAGCTGAGAGTGCATCCACATCTAGAGCTAGGCCAAAACATGGGCTAAGCCTTTGCTGTTGATCGTTTGCATTAATTTTCCCCCTTGCTAGGTCAAGCCACTTCTGAAGAGAGAGCTTTGCAACCTCTCACCAGGGAAAGCGGTTTCGGTGGATGCTACGTTCAGGTTGGCGAAAATAGCCACTGGCGACGCCTCCTGCATCGTCTTCTTGCTGGGAGAGTTCGGCCACATCATTGGATGGGCCGCTCTACGGTCCGACAAGTGGAGCAACTTGTTGCCATTGCTTCATGCGTGAGTCATGCGATGCGATGTTGATGGGCGTGTAGACGCACCAAAGATCGGAGATATTTGAAGATGGACGCTAGCTTGTTGCGCTAACCTGGAGCGGCATCTCATTCTTTGCGGCGGTGACACACAGTTGAAAACGACGGCCTTGGATTCGAGACCCATAATTTTTCCTTTTTCCCCTGTTTTCACATCCTTTTACCAACGAACAGGCTGAGGGCACGTCTGGACCGGCTGGGGACACTGAACGATGTGGTGAAGGTGTTTGCGGACACCTGTTCCGAAGGGAAGAAAGACGTCACCGTTCACTTGTGTGTCGACATTTTCCCGAACGTGAAGAGGACTCCCTTCGCAGACCTGTTTCACAAGGTCCAGATTATTTCCACCCACACACTGAGTGCACACCCTCTCCACGCCGCACTATCCAGGTAAATCGAAAGCGGAAAAGGGGATAGATTTTCGACTGCATGGAAATGTTGCGATTCGTATCGTCTCGGTGATTGGTAAAGCTAACTGAGGTGTTGTAGTAGGGCACACACGACGGGTGCAATGACCCATCCACGGACGTCGATGGTAGCGACAAACGTAGGTCACGATTGCCCGTTTCACCCCCCTGCTCGCGTTCTTTCTTTGACGTCGCCGCTTGCTGTTTGTCAGGGAGGTCGGCACCTGCATCGCAGCGAAGCACGAGCCGGACGTCCACCGCGTGGCGGCCTACATCATCAACAACAGGGGCGTCAACGCAGAGGAGGCTATGGCTCTGGCTGGGAACAGCCACTACAGGAGATTCGTCCGTACGCGCACACCTCCCGACTGCGCCGCCCGACTGGG